ATTTTCAAAATATTTTGATTTATTTTGAACTGTTTAGAGACATAATTTTCATTTTCCATTTTTTTTTAGTTTTTCTTCTATAAATATCAATAAAGTTCTATCTGTTGGGCCAAAAAGTGTAAAAATGTAATACAAGGCTCCTGATATATTGTTACAATAGCAATTGAAAAATATTAAAAATACATAGGCACACTTTTTTTTTATAAGCATTTAAAGATCGAATTTTGACAAAATTTATCAAAATCTCGAAAATTATCAATCATCGTAATTAATAAATTATAAAATGTTCAGTTTTTATAGCTAAGGACTGCAAATTTAAAATAATGCCCCGGTAAAAGGTGCTTACAAGCCGCCTCTGCAGACACCTGGGCAGTTGGATTATTGATCGAAATTTTTAATTAGAAAATTAAAACTTATTTCTAATGAAATATTACGTAATAGAGCAAAATATAAAAATTTGGTTTTTATTTTCATGGTTTTTTTTTATTTTGGTTTTTTTTTCCGTGGTCTTTTTTTCCTTTGGTTTTTTTTCTGTGATTCTTCAATTACAGTTCACAATAATATAAAATTTAGTTTTTACAAAGTGCTTCGTAGGATTTATAGACAATTTTCTGGTGAGTTCAATTTTTTTTTTCAGAATCAATATTCGACAACGTTAACTAACTTTAATTTTGTCAATATTTAGGTTTTATCAGCTAAAATTAACGGCTGTAGCGAGGCCCCTTAAGTAATATTTTTAAGCTACTATAAGAATAATACATTTATAAAGAATTATATGTACTATGTAGGTATGTATTCAATTTTCAAGCTTTCTGACTTTGAATACAATTACCTGTATATGTATATAAAAAAAAATCAAACATTTAAATAATGTCTATATATAGCTTGTTAATGTATCTAACAATTTGAAAATAAAAATTGTGTCTAGAAAATGTTATTTTAAATAGTTGGTGAAAATGTCATGTATCTAGGGTTTTTCATTATTGAATTAAAAAAAAAAAAAAAATCAATTTAATTTAGGAGGCATAATATTATATTGAAAATTGCATGGTATTGCGTAAATATTATAGTATTTTTAAATATGACAGAAGATTTTTTGATTAGATGGAGTATTGAGTATTTAGAGAAATGTATGTAAGTATGTAATGGTTATATTATCTTATATTATTATAGTGTTAGTGTAGATTTACACCTTGCCCCATGGTCGACTTTAACAGAATTATTTTTGACTTTATAGTAGACTAGGCACAAAATAATATAATTTGTTTAATGGTTTAGAATTGGAGACAGTAGTAATACAGTATACTGTATACCTAATTGATACAATTGTGACAATGGGGAAGGATCTCCAAGAATCTGCTATTGCGATATAGGGTCGCAACCGCGGTGGGTGCTTGAATATACTATATTGTACCTAAAACTATTTTACAAAACTGTCAGCTATTAGAGATAAAGGTAGATTAACGACCTGTGCAATTGGCAGACGGCAATTTGTATTTTATGGCAGGAGAGGTGGGGATATTAGAAATATCCCTTAAGGTTCATGACAATTTTTATTTGATGACTTGGACACTTGGTGTTTAGACTTCCGTAGAGGTGTTTCCACTTTATTTTGTTAATATTCTAACAATATTTTTGGTATATTTGAACAAATATTACCATGGAACCAAATGATGGTGTGTATAAGGTATAATATATTATTTTGTACACATTATTAATTTTAACTAATTAATTGTAGGCAATGGAAATGGCATCAACGACGAACCAGTTGATGGTCAGGGTCTTCCTCTATCTAGAGAAATTCCCGGAATTCGTGGGCGATCAAGGTTTTTCATTGATGATAGAGGATATGCATTTTACCAGCATTCCCTTTCCGTAAGAAGAGATATAAGGTAAGTAATAATTTATATTTTTAAATTAAATCGGTTTTTTTTTTTTTTATCTAAGAAAAAAAGCGAGTAAGTAGGTACTTATTATTGCTCTGCTGTGTAGTAGGTGTCTAATATTCGAGTGATACGTATTCTAATATACTCAGTAAAAAAAGTATTTAATTACATATTCAAATAGGTACTTTAAAAGAGTATTTATAGAAACTTTCAAATTTCGTATAAATTAATTTACCTTACAAATCAACTGAACCAATTTTCATTATTGTTTTTTGTTAATTTTAGGTTTATAGCATTTTATATCGTATTATTTGATGTAACTATAAAATACTCACATGTTTTCTTTGTAGAAGTATTTGAATTTTCGATTGAGTATAATTCACAGTAAAAAAATATATATTATTATAAATTCTTTGGCCAAGTACTTTTTATTTCTTTTTTAAGTATTTAGAATACGTAGGTACTTATTTGAGTAATTTTACTCTTACTTTATAAGACTGAAAGTGTTAAATATTGTGCCTATACGATGAACAACGACTCTGAGAGAAAAAACGATCTATTGACGTATATTTCTGATGATATTTTATCATGTATACCTGTTCCGTAATGTTCTCTTTAGATTAGAAAAAATTTAAAATTAAAAAATTCGAATTGGTTTTGGTAGTTTCTGAGATAACCCGTTAGTAAAAAATTAATTTTACTTTTACATACAAAGCATGCTCCTCAATCACATTTCTTCATTTAACGTCTCTGGCCTGCCGTAAATCATAAATATGAGTGTGATGGTTGTATCATTTAATATTACTCTAAGGGTTATATTCGGGTGGCGGCTCAACGGCTGGGCTATAATATCTACGAACGCGTAGGCACAAAATGGGTGCGCGCACGTCATGCCAAATGTAAACGATACCGACAGGCGANGTTGTATCATTTAATATTACTCTAAGGGTTATATTCGGGTGGCGGCTCAACGGCTGGGCTATAATATCTACGAACGCGTAGGCACAAAATGGGTGCGCGCACGTCATGCCAAATGTAAACGATACCGACAGGCGACGATCAAAAATTAATAGTGCGATTAAGTGGCGCAACTAGGATTTATTTAAGGAGGGGGGGGGGGGTCCAAAAAAAAATGTAATTAACTAGGTACTATTTTTCAGTTCTTTTTCTGAGTATATACAATATACATGCATTTTATTTCTTAATAAACACAATTTGCCGAGTTTAAGCATTAAGGAAATTAAAAAAAAATTATATTATTTACATTTAAGATTCTGAGCGATGAATGTATTGATTTTACAATGATGTTTTTTTTTTAAATTTATTTTTATTTTTGTGTCTGTCATGGTGAATCTAATTGGTGCGTTCGGGAGGTCAAAATATGAAAATTCACAATAGTTTTCAAAAATGGCGGGACAAATAACATAAAAATTAAGGAAAATCGGAAAATTTTACGCAATATCGGTTGTCGACAAAATCGATTTTTGTTTTTGGTGTAATTCTAAAACAAATGAATGTACATACATGAAATGTTTTTTCACTGGTTGTTTGTATTCGCATTTTCTATAAACGATAAAATTTCAAAATATTTTGATTCGTTTTGAACTGTTTACGGACATTGTCAGTTTCCAATTTTAATAGTCTTTTTTTCTATGAATGTTAATAAACTTTATTTGTTGGGTAAAATGGCTTGAAAATTTAATACAAGGCTCCTGATATATTGTTACAATAGCAGTTAAAAAATAATAAAAATATATACACAATTTTTTTTTATAAGCATTTATTGTTCACATTTTGACAACATTTATCAAATGTATAATTTAATAATTATTTTGTATAGTTAAAAATGTATAAAATGTTTAACTTTTATAATTAAGGATTGAAAATTTAAGACAAGGTTCCACGTAAATAGGTTATATGTAAATTACTTTATTCACAATAATATCATCAAAATATACTTAGTAATATCATAATTCATAGGCTGACTGACCGTTTTTGCTCAGAATCATTTTTCTAAATACAATTATATTAAATTATTGAATTAAAATCTAACAGCATCCATTACCATGACCCACTTGTAACCTACTGTACAGCAGAGCGACAGCCACTTAGCCACCTTTTTACATTTATATTTATAATGTATGTATATTATAAGATTATAATCATAATTATAATCATGATTATAATAATATGATTATAATCATAATTATCTATTATAAGATATTATATTATATGATTATTTATTATGCCTTTTAAATTATTGTATAGTCATATTTTCTCATATTAATCTCATAAGTAATAATCAATCTAATCAATAAGTTTCGATGAACATTTCAGGAAACTTTTTAAAATAAAAATAAAACCATGACAAATGCCAGGGGGGGGGGGAGTGCGGATCCGACGTCCACCCCCCTGGGTTCGCCACTGGTGCGATTACTAAATGCTCAAAACACCTAGCACATTGGACTTCAATTCTTGATTACGTAGCTTAATTTAAACAATAATAAATAAAACAAAAACTTTTTTAAAATTGGTAATATTTAAATTAGTATTACATGGTTTGGATTAGAATTTTTAAAATCTAAGTTCGATGCGCCCAATAATAATCTTTTTTCCCATAAAATAAAAATTATCGAATGCGTAAGGTGTGAGTTTTTCCTGTAAGGAATGTTTTTGATTAAAAGTCTGTTCACGGGCAAGCCCTTCTTAATAATGAATTTATTTAAATTCTTGAGACTTTTTACAACTACTAATATCTGTATTTCAAATGAGTTCTCTCCTTTGACCTTTTATACTGTAAATTATATATCAGATATTTTTTCTGGAAATGTTGACGTATCAAAATCAAAATGCGAACGAGAAGTTTCAGAGTTATTTAACTTTGTGTCCTAAGGACAATTTGGTCCATGGTAATGGGTTTGGAAGATATGGAGGATATTTGATTTCAATTTTAGTAACCAATATTAATTTATTATTCTATTAGCATTTATAATTTATACAATTTGTATAGTCAAAGTAAATAATAAATACTAGATCTAATAATATTACACCTATAACATATTTCTTTAAACGTTTTTTTATGGACTAGGTGTCCACTCTGCTCAGAATCTAAAATTATATATTATTATTAATTACATGAATGCAATATATTTTAATAAAATATTTATATTTTATTGTATGCAGGTATTTAAGATGCCAAAGAAGAAGATACGGCTGTATGGTAAAAGGCAAAATGTTTACACATGACGGAGCACAAATTGAAATATCTCCAGGCGATGACCACAATCATGAACCTGCACCTCGCCATGCATTAGGTGTTCGACAGTTTTTCAATAGATTGAGAGAGAGAGGCGTAGACGAAAATATTGCACCACACATAATTGTTGATCAGGAAACTCAAATGTAAGAACAATAAAAATAACTATGTAATGTAAGTAAATATTTATAAATATATAATATACATCAACTAGGGAACCAGAAGCAGCAATGGAGATTGGACGACCCGCAGCTATCCGTGCTATAGCAAGAGCCAGGCGTCGTAATAGTCCACCAGTACCTGAATCATTGAGCAATTGGCCAAATATTTTGAGCTCGATTGAATGGAGTCAGAGACTATTGTACGTCAACGGCGCACTAGATCAATTTTACCAAGGACCTTTGGAAGTGCTCAGAGATGACGGTACCGTTCGTTTTGTTGGCATCGCCTTTACAAATGTAGCATTTCTACAACGGATGAATGTACATCTTCGGGCTGTTCGAACTGTGTGCATGGACGGGACGTTTCAAGTTCGACCAAGACAACCTCCAGACATTGAACAACTATTTACCATTCAAATAGTTTTCAATGATGTGGTTAGAATATAGCTAAAACAATAAAAAAAATATCAATTAATGTGAATATATATTTAATTTATTTTTAAGGCGATACCAATTGTTCATGCACTTTTAATTGACCGTCAGACAGAATCATACAGTCGAGTTCTGCAGTATTTTAGGCATGATTTACAACTGAATTTGAACTATGACCAGCTTCAAATCATATCAGATTTTGAACAAGGGTTAAGAAATGCCATTGCCCGAGTACTTCCTGAAGCCAACAATACTGGATGTTGGTTTCATTTTGTTCAAGTGAGTAAACAGCCAATAAATATATATTATCAATAAATTAACACCGCAGCGGTAAAATACAGCTGTACACAATTTACCGTCGCCGCTGCAGTGTGTGGAAACCTTACTAATTTAAAATGTTAAAAACTAAAAAAATATGAATAATTTTTTTATTTATAGTGCATTATTCGTTACGTGAGGACCCACAACCTGGCAAGAATTCTTAGAGCTAATGAAAACGCAAGGAGAATCTTACGCATGGTAAATTTATAGTAAAAATTAATTTATAGATTGGACTAGTGGTGGCATGAAGTTTATATCTTCTATAAACGAGTTTCAGTAAAATACTAAAATGTATGTACAATTTCAATATCATGGCTTCTACTAAGTATATGAACATGATTATATCTTATTGAAAGTTTGACGCTTATTAAATTGAGGATACCTATAATTGATACGACAAAATAATCGGATAGATATGTGTAAAAGAGATTATTTTGTCACCCACAAAATTTTGTCATAAAGTAACTGATTCATAGGATACCCTTTCACATCGCCACTGGTTCAGACACCAAACAGAAAATAAAATATTAGTCAAAATGTTAAAAGTATATACATTTTAATTAAACTATAAAACAATTTTACTGTGTAAAACTTAAATATGAATAAAACATTTACTCAAATAAAAGTTAAGTAGTAATTTAATTTTTAATATTATAATATACTTAATTTCTGCACGTCTAAATCAAATTAACTATATTTCATGTTTTTATAGCAACATTACACTCTCTCACTCCCTACACTTTCTGTATTTTATCAAAGCTGGGCATTAACGAGTTAATAAGTCAAAAGTTAAGTTATTTTTAACTTATTAACTTAACTTACTAGTTCGCTGTTCTAATTAACGTAACTGTAACTTAACTCATTTGTATCTACAGTAACTTAAAATCTACTTATATTATTTATAATATTCACAATTAAGTTAATTTTAATTCAATAGCTACAAGCCCACAAAGTCCCGATTCACAATACATACTTATTATTTTTTAATATTTAATACCTACGAATTACGATTATTATTGTACCATTTATCGTGAAATTGTGACCATTTCCATCTATACATTATTTTTTATATTATAATTTTATTTCAAAAATTCCTACTTAGCTAATAATTGTGTGAATATAAAAAAAAAATAGTGTATTCTACATAATATATAGGTACCATGTATACCATACAGTTTATGTTGTTATTACAATTTAATAGATATTTAGAATAACATAGTTGTAAAATACAAATGTTACACACATATATATATAATATCCACCACTATTATAAGTAAAAATAACAGTCGTTTTTTTTTAAAGTTTAAATTGTTGAGAAATTTAATTTTTGAATTATAAAATGTGTTAAACAATACATAACACATTTACACACAATATTTATTTTTTAATGAACCCGGCGTGAAATATGAATAGAATTCTAAAACGATACAGCCCTACAGGTCTTAAATTATACATACATAATAATATATAATATATCCATAGGTTGATACTTTGATAGGTATACAAGTGATTATACATTTATACTTTATTTTAATAACTTTTTAATGCATTTAAAAAAAAATTAAATTAGCTTAACTTATTAATTGAACTTAAGTTAACAGTATTTGTTAACTTAATTTAAACTTAATTGATGTATTGAAAATGTCTAACTTAACTTTTAATTTAATTGAAAAAATAATACTTAACTAAACTTAACAGAGTTAAAAAATATCATTAACTTGTATTTTATCCAACCTTGAATTTTATCATAATAATTAGTAAGTTATTGTTTTTCCAGCTCATGGCTTTACCTCATTTGCCGGCCAATGAAATTAGATTCCACCGTGGTCTCTTTTCAATTCAACTAGGGTTTGATGTTGTACAAGAATTGGGTTAGTTGTCTCATACAAATTCATTGTTCTGATATCTATAAATATTATATTATTGTTTAACAAAATATAATTAATTAAATAGTGAGAGATTACAACCTTGGAGAGGAGCTGCATGATTTGATGCAATATTTTCAAAGGTATTGGATGGACACTGTAGGTCCACTAAGATTTACAGTGTATCGACTCCAATACAGGACGAATAATTTTATTGAGTCATACCATGCTTCTCTTCTGAGACTAATGGGCCAACATCCGTCTCTCTATCAGTTTTATGGTAACATTGATTACTCTGAAAGAAATATAAATTTATAATAACAGTCATAGAGAATGAAAAAACTGGTATTTATTTTTTAATCAAAATTTTAGAACACCTGAGAACATTAGAAGTACGTTCAAGGAATGATTTGGCCAGTGTAGTAAATGGACAACAAGTAAGGCTTTACAGTTTGTGTAAAAATATTAAATTTAGTGGACGTAAGATGTCAGTTGGTTTTCTCTCAGACCCACAAGCAACATAGCACATTTGCATTCAGCAGTATCAATCTTTTCTAGTTGAGTGTTGTTAGCATTAATATTAGCATGAATTGACCTATTATCAAAACTTAAGTTAATAACTGTATTTTATAAACTGGATTTTTTTTACAATATTTTAATTTTTCCAAGATATATGAGCATTTAAAAATTATTGTAATATTTTACATAGTCATAACAAAAAAGGCTAAAAGTACAATACTGATTCTGTTAACTACAAATTTACTATGTTGTGTTAACTTTGATTGATTCTAAAAAATCATTAGTATTTATTAAATAAAATAGGTACATAATGAATTATGATCTATAGATAAATGTATAACTAACATGTATTTTATTTGTAATTAACAGGTTAGACAAAGGAGTTACAGAATGCATCCAAGAAATAATGCAATTATAAGCAATGCATGGGCTAATGTTGAAAATGAAACTTACAATCTGCAAGATTTCTTGAGAACGGTTTCATATACCAGTGAACAAATCTTAAGAAACGAGATTGGTGAACCGGATTTTCAACCCAGTAATTTACTATCAAAACTTAATTATTTATAAATTTATTATATTTACTTTATTAACTTTTTGCTTATAGTGCTTGCTGTTCAAGGGTTAAATGCTCCAGGTCCATTACTACAGAGGCCCCCTCAACAGTTACTGTTTTTAAGACCGATGCCAGTACCAGCATTAATACGACCGGCCGTACAACCAGCAGAGGCGGTACAACCACCGATGGTTGTACAACCGGCGGTACAACCACCGATGGTTGTACAACCGGCGGTACAACCAGCAGAGGCAGTACAACCACCGATGGTTGAAGTACCTGCTATACAAAATGCAAGAAACCGAAGGGGTGTGCGTAGAAGAGGTAAATTTACAACTTTAAAATAACTCAAAATTAAAATCCTTATTTAATACATTATTTTATACTTTAGGAAATCGTGGTCATCGTGTACAAGGCAACGGTAGAGGACGTTTGCACGAGAGAGTGGGATGGGCAGAATTTTTTGCAAATATTGAAGAAGGTAATATTATGACCTGCAACTAATAAGTTTTTTATAGAATTTCTTCTAGTATTAAAATAAATATTGCTTTTAGAACTAGAACCACGTCTTCCCCCACCTGTGATTCCCGCCAATGAAAGTAAGTTAAAACAATTATTGAAATTTTAAACTTTTTAAAATTATAATTAATACTGATTTATTTTTTCAGTGGTTTTAGAAGTATGCATAATTTGTTTTGAAGAAATAGTAACAGTCACTATAGTGCCATGTCGCCACACATTCTGCAATACTTGCATTAGAAGATTGATAGAGGAAGGGTTTCCTACATGTCCATTATGTAGAGGCAATATTGAAATGTACGAGGGATATGTACAATAACTATTTGGTTTTATTTATTTTTTTTATTGTTAATTTGAGATATTTTTAAGTTATTAGTTATATTATTAAGTTAATTTTATTTTTGAAAGAATTTATGAAAAATGTTATTATTTGTATTGCATTATTCTCATTATAATAAATATCTATATAATATATAAAAAGCCGGCCAAGTGCGAGTCGGACTCGCGCACAAAGGGTTCCGTACCATTACCTGTGGCAACGACTTACCCTAAAAATGTATGCCTCTCTGTCCACATTACCATGGCAAACATTTATATATTATTTTGAGATTTCCGATGGAATTTTTTGTATAAAAATGGTTGCCATGGTAATATGTAAAACATTGTTCATATAGAGTTGGCATTTTTAATGGGCAACGAAGTGTAACAGGATCAGCTAGTAATATATAAACTTTTAATAAGAATAAATAGCATTCACAAATATTGAACGATCATCTACTTACTTTGTTGTGGTTGACTGTTGTTATTATAATAAATTAGTAATCACTGAACTGTGAAACAAATAAGATCATATGAAAAATGATTAATTTTAGACTCAAGATAATTAATTACCTACATGTTAACTCAGGTTTTAGACACTTGTTTAATGATTTTCAGAATTATTTTATAAAAACTAACTTTTATTGTAATAATATTTTCATCGATGATGATAATCAATGAATTAATTAGATCTAATAAAACCATCAGTATTCAGTAATTAGTATGGCAAAACATTGACAGTTCATATTTCATATCATGACAAAATAAATGTTTATTCTGTCATTCCACAAATACTATGAATTATAAATCTGATTTTTTTTCAAAATAAGATACGGTAATATAGTTTTAAAATATTAAAATTGGTTAATACTTATTAGTTATTATACTTCATAGTATAAACCTATTATTTATTAACACAGATATAATATCCTGAACTGTTTTATAAACAATATGCCAGGCATATAATATTATGCCTATTTATATAATTAATAGATACATAGGTATTGTTGAGCCAATAAAATAGGACCTATATAATACAAAAATACAAGATTCAAAATTATTGTAAAAATTCGAGGCCCCCCATACATACTTGTGAGGCCCATCAGGGTTAGGCCTTGCACCGCCTGCACCTGCGGTAGTTGAGGCACTGCTTATAACCGTGCTGAGTGCTGACGACTATATTTAAAACGCTATATTTTGGAATAAAGGCTTTGTGGAACAAAAGTTCAGAATTTGATCCAATGTAAAAGGATTTATATTCCGAAAAACAATTGTTAGAATAGTGGTTTTTTCCGATGTAGATTTGTTACAACTGACTTTTATTCCATAAAAGATTTGTTCCTATCGACATTTGTTCCAAAAAATAATAATATCAATAGACATTTGTTCCAAAAACAATTTGTCCCAATAGTGTTTTGGAACAAATGTCCATTGGCACAATTATGTTGGGAACAAATATCCATAAGCATAATTATATTTTGGAACAAATGTTCATTGGCACAGATTTTTTTTGGAACAAAAATATGACCACCGTTGGTGACATGATATACACTTTTTTTATTATTATTATCACTATTGTACTGTAGTACCAGTAGAACTAGTGTAGTCATTGGTAGAGTTTTGGTACTAGTTGTAGAGGTTCCCAACCAGTGTTGTACCAATGTAGGATTACTAACATGAAACCACACTACCACCGAATAGATGAATAACGTGACGACTTCATACCAGCAACCATCATAGAACAAAGATACCACTAAACCCCGACACTAAGTGCATAGTCCGAAATTGGAAACGTGCACCAAATTTAGTAGTGTGTACCAATACGACTATTGAAATAATTTTAATCGTGTCATGTCTTTTTAGATTTATATTTCATAACTCAGAAATATATATTTTTTAGTTTGTAAATCAAAAATAGTCAGGTAATAAATCAATAATGTATATAACGGCCGACGGGTAAGCTATTCTAAAATAATTGGTTCAACCTATAATCTAAACTTTATCCTTGAATCGTCAAAATTGGTTGAGTATATTTTGATTCCATAAGTCACAGTTTGCTGTACTCATACATTCCGCCTTTTAAATAAATATGATAGCTGTATGTTAATAATGACCCGGAATTTTCCGAATAACAGTTATGTGTGCAAAATCTGGAGCCAATGCCCAATTAGTATTTAATCATAATAACTATGTAGGTAGGTATTTATTACTTATTACCAATGAGCAATGGCGGAAACTTGATGAACGAATAATAAAATATTCGATTTTCGTGAGCCGAAACAAAATGTGTGTGTAAGGCGTGAGCCACACCCCACAGTGACCTATAATATAGGGGTTAAAAATCAAAGCTTCAAACCCTCCCCGAGTCTATAGAAATCTATATAGATATAATTTTTGTTGAAAACGGTATTGTGGTTTTTAAATATAGTCTGTATAGAGGACTTAAAGTCGAACATTTATTGTTATAATAATAAATAATATATTACATATTTTATATTATGTCCATGGTAGATTTTTATTTGATGGCAGTATAATACTTAACTATGCTGTTGGCCGGTGGGGCATATAGTTTTTAGGAACAGTAAATTCTAGATTGAATAGAAATTTGAATTTTGAGGTCGACTAGTTAGTCTACTTTTATTCTTCCATGTGCTTTCGGGAAAAGTACATCAATCGCTATTCTGCAGCAGCTGCAGCTGCTGCTGCATCTCGAACTGAGATAAGTGTTAACTGATAAGTTTACCGACATGAACTATGAACATCATAATATTATTATGTTGTGTCCTATGCTATCGACACACCCGCTAACATAGATTATCATATTAATATTTAACATATTTTGCTTATGACATTTATTATGCGTGCTCGCGTACTTTGTAGTTTACTAGTTTGTTCACACCGCGGCGGCGCCGCACGAACGACCGTAGATACATATGTTAATATTATGTAATTATATCATATCTGTCATGATTCAAGATCGCTGTGATTAAACCCAAAAATTTTCTTGAGTATCCGAGAGGCCAGAGAACCCGACAGTTAAGCTCACCGCTCGGTCTACTGATATCTTCGGCTTTGAACAGTTTTAACTTTTTACCATAGGTACTGAACATATTGTAGTAGGCAGACGGGCGCCACCGGTAATTCGTTCCGGCGAATTGAGAAAGCTATTTTTTATCTACCTTTATAGATTATTGTTGTTGAGCCTATTTGATTTGACAACGACGATAATAATATCACAGAATATAACAATAATATTATTATTATTATATTTTTTATTTACCATTAAACTCTGTGTCTATGCGCGCGCGCCCAGTATAGTGTCCTTGCTTGTGTGTGTGTGTGTGTGTGCGTGTGCGTGTACGTACATTATACCTGTCTATATTATAATTTATAGCATAATATTATAGTCAATGTGCGGTGGGTAGTCAGTCGTGGTCGCCGTCTGGAGGCACGCGTCGCTCTAATTACTTCCGACATTGCGTCCTGGGAGTATAATATTGACTATTGAGTTACCACTGCGCAGTTGTCCGTGTGCCGGACTTTTCGCAGACATGTCTTCCTCCGACGGACGACCGGAACTGGTCTCCGGCCAGCGATGGGAGGCGCGCGCCAGGGTTGATTTTCCGTTGCACTATCTGATATGGTTGCGTGAACACAAGCTGCTGGAGGAGAAGCTGGACGCAATCGGTTCCGATCAACAGCCCGCCGTCAAGGTAAATTGTGTGTCAACGTTGCTAAACCACTGGTTCCTTGCATAACTCTTTTAAAAAAAATAGAATTTCATTCGGTTTTATCCTAAATGTGTAATTTTATTTTAATATCCATCTCATACATCATCACCCAAGTACCTTGAAGTGCATCTATTTAATAATTCAACCACAGTTGGCCCGGAACAAACCCTATTGGAGGAGTTGGAGGACTAGGTATTGATTAGTTTCAACTATATTTTCTAACAAATTTCCCCGTCTGTTTTCATCAATATATTTGCTAAGGATATTAATAACATTTTTCTCTAGATTGGAAGAATTCAAAATCTTAATATCATTATTTCTACTATTTTTTTTTAAATTGAGGGTCCTCACATATTTATTTAATTTGTCAAAATTTCTTATTAATCTATTACTCGCTTTCAATTAGGTAGGAATTTTGGTTAGTATTTAATTTTTTCAATAAAATTTCATTAAACCCTTAAGCATTACTAAGTTGAGTTGTTAGTTTTAGTACTTTCTAAGAATTTTGGTTTGAAATTTGTTAAGTTATGTATACAATGTTTTTATAAAATATATGTTTGGAAAAAAAGATTATTTGGTGTAACTATACTTTATAAAATTTGTATTACCAATAATTATTATTAAATAACCATAGTACCTATTCTAGGCATTTAATTTAATGTATTTTAATGTATTATTACTTTTGTTTATGAAACATTAAAATTATAATAATCAAAAATTTGCTTTTCTGTATTTGTGATTAATGACATATATATTAACCATAGGATGTGTGAATTTTATGTGGTGCAGTATACATTTTTAAATCATATAATAGAACAACAAGTTGCCTACATTGGCCACTTATTTTGCACATTATACTATGGGCAAAAAGTGTGTGAGGTAAAAATTATGTACTCGCATCTTTCCATTATTATTATATTATGGGCATCTATTAATGTGTGCAGTGCTCTGATTTAACAATCATCAGTTATCATCTGCCAATAGAATAATGTATATATTTGTGACAATAAGTGTTCATTACTATACTGTGCAAGTAACCTCTCGCATTAATATATATGTTATCATTTTTCATTTAAGCAACAATGAACATTCATATTTTAATTTATTTTTAAATTCAATATTTTAAAAACTATTCATTTATATGGGTTTTTAAAATAAAATATCAGAATCAATGAAAGCATCATTCGCTGCACCCTTGGGCATGCCTATGGTAGTACCTATTATTATAAGTACATCATTATTTGATGCTTTAATAAATGAGTATGAGTATGTATGAGTATGGAGTAAAGTGAATAAAAGTTTTTAATTATATATTAATATGTTCATAAAATTATATAAATGTAGGTATAGAAACACTCATTTATGTGTTTATTTAATTATATTTTGTTAAAAATGTTTATGAAAAGCAGTAAGATAATATTTATGTTAAATTATGTGTACCTACAAGTAAATAATATCTAATACAATTAAATTAATTTAATTATTACATAGCAATGGCTTCTTAAAAGCATAAATCAATAGACTACTTGTATGTTATTTAAAAAAAAACACCTTTACCTCATAATCTTCTTAACTTTTGAGAATACTTGTCACAAAGTTTATTATGTTTATCCTTAAACATTAACATAGTTAATATAGAAGTTTCAGAGTAGTAGTGATACTCTAGGTACGTTGCTGTAGAGTTTATTGGCCTTTAATGTCCATAGAACACATTTATACTACACTGTTATTATTGAATTACATACTTTTCTAAAATGTAAAATAATAAAGACAAATGTAATATATTAGTTACTTATAGACTATTTAATAATAATATAATACCTACCTATGTTATTATTTTGGACATAAAACGAATGTTACTGAATTGTATGTGTAAAAGATGATAACATTTGGAAATTGGTTAGATTTTTTCACCATAAATACGAATTTACGAGAAAAAAAAGTTTAACACTTAACACTAATGGTAACTTGTCCTATGGTGCCTAGGAGTACACGAACCATGCAAATAAAAAATGCTTAGATTTGTTTAATAAATTATAATTTACATGATTTATTTAGTTAGCAATTTCAAAAACTATTAATTCTAAAAGAAAAAGTTTTTGTAGCTTGTCGCTTTGACAGACGTGCTTGCTAATAGTTAAATAATTTTGTGGATCACAAATTTGTTGTGTAATATTATTTACATGTGCCGACATATTAGTTGATACCAAAAAGTATTTTGGAGCACAATTAATTAGTACACCAAACCATTTTAGTGCTCATGCTGCCAGTAGGGTAACTTTGTAAAACACTAGGAGGTGGGGAAATAATTACGTAACCAAAATAAAAATCCCCCAGTTTAAATATATTTCTGTTGTATGTATACCTAATGGTTTATTTTTATACAAGTCTTAAACTCTTAAGACTCATTTTATGGTTTGGAATCAAATTGTAAGTAGGAGGTTATAATTATTTATAACTATTACCCATATTAATAAATGATATTAAGTATCTACATAAGAATTCATTAATAAAAAGGTTGGTATATCTGGCAGGGGAGTAAATGATACCTTTGCTTCACCAAAATGTAAGCAGCCCCTGCTGTCTTAAGTGCCCTCTTCCAATGTCCACCACAATGACACCACTGTATGACATGCTATAGGGATAATTATCATCACAACAGCTCAAACCTTAAATTATTTTTTCCAATTCATTTTTATTTTACCATTTTAAAGGTATTAAAAAAAATGAAAGCACATTATTTTTAGTACCTATGTATATAAAGAAAAATTATTTTTATTGATACCCTAAATATCATATAATTTGTTGTGGTGTCTTACATAAACTATTTCTAACATACTATTGATTTAAATTTACTTAATTTACTATATGTTTGTGTTAGATGTCACCCAAATGTTGAATACATTAATAACTAAATGTATATTGTTTATGTTTTTGTCTTAGAGTCAACTAGAAAAACTAGATCCCAGAGGTCGCACTCCTTTGATGTTAGCCATAACGTTAGGTGACATAGAATCAACTAGATTATTAATAATCAGAGGAGCTAATGTCAATGTAAAGAATGATGAAGGATGGACTGGTAAAAAAAAAAAAAATTTGTTCGACAATATGTTAAACCATTAATTTAATTTTTATAGCATTACAAGAAGCAATTGCTACTGGTGATCCAGAAATGGTTAAGCTTGTTATGGAACACAGAGATTATCAACGTCATTCAGATCGAGCCACTGATGTTTCAAAACTGTTAAAGCTACTTGAAGAATCACCTGATTTTTATGTAGAGATGAAATGGGAATTTATTAGTTGGGGTAGGTTTTTTGAATTGAGAATTGTTATTTTGAGTCAGATTTATAATGTTGTTTGGTTTTTAGTTCCATTAGTGTCAAGAATGTGCCCAAGTGATACCTATAAAATATTTAAACAGGGATCTAATGTACGAATTGATACCACATTATTAGGTTTTGACCAGGGTAATTGGGAACGTGGAAATTTGAGTTACATATTTTTGGGTCAAAGTAAGTGAAGTTGATTATTTATATTTATGTGCATGGCTTATGTCAATTATGTTGTAATATTACAGCTGCAACACTTTACAAATCAGAACGAACGTTCATATTTCAACTTAACGAAGGTTAAATCTTTCATAATAACAAAATGTAACTTATCTAGAATCAATTTTCATTGCCTAATATATAGTTTCCCAGTCTATATTTGTTTTAATTCTTAATATTAGTTAAACCTATAATATTTGTTTGTAGGTTGGAGGTATGCTCTCGAAGACATTTTTATTACATATTCCATTAAATACAATTATTTTTTAATGTACAGGGTGGGGCAATGGGTTCTGACGAATTTTAATCGTAGTTTATTATTCAAGTATTATAAACAAAGTAATGAAACATATTGTATTTTATTCAACATAAAGATTATTTCTAATTGTTGTCAATAAAAATCTTTACTTTTAAAAATTACATTACTTGAGTGGCCATTTTGTAAAAGTCGGCTATCCGTTTTTTCAAAGGTACTGTCTATAACTCTTTGTAGGATATGCAGATCGATGGCTGTAATTTCCCGTCTAATGTTTTCTTTTAACTCTAATAATGTATGCGGATTATTAGTGAATACCTTAGATTTCAAAATATAACGCCACAAAAATAAACCAGGTGGAGTCAAATCAGGAGAATGTTGAGGCCAGGTAATATCTCCATTATTACCCTCAATAAATGCCGTAACGACAAAAACGCGCTGATTGACAGGCCACCTGTCCGTGATTACTGGATACAGTAAAACTAGACATCATGAACTTTAATTTGGCGGTAAACTAGTTTATCTTATATACTTTAGTGCCTCCCCACAGTTCTCTATAAATCGTCAGAACCCACTGCCCCACCCTGTATAACAGATTTTGAACTTGTAAAATTTCATAACTTGGAATGTATTAATACATAATAATGTAGCATTAAAAATAATATTATAATTTTAATGATTTGTTGTTGATTATAAATTCATGTTTACCATTATTTAGTAGACAAATATTTATATAATATATATTATTTGAATTTGAACCTTAAAAGCATAGGTTTTCTGAAAGATTGTAGGTATATACTAAAAAAACTTAGTATAATAAATTATTTATTCTTTTACCTTATTCTGATTATTTTATTAGAAGTTGACCTTGTACACTATAAAACATATTGTTATTAACTATTGTTTTGTTTGTAATTATTCAAATTGTTTGAACTTAGTCAAATGCTTGACATTTATTTTGTTTTATTAGGTAAATCAGCTACATTTTTAGAAGTAGATCATGAAGCTCACAGGGTATACGTAGAAGAAATACAAATGATACCTTTAGATCAAGGTATTGAAGTGATGCGTCCATCAGATGATACGATAGCCAGCAGATTGTCTGCTCCTATTGTTAGTTTTGATATAGATACTAAAAAAATTAGTTTTGAAAGGTATGCTATGAACATTTTATGAGATTTATAAAAATATTAATATTCTATTTGTATTATAGGAATAAAAGTGGTATTTGGGGTTGGCGGCAAGATAAATCAGAAATAATTAGTGATTATAATTGTAAAGTATTTAGTGCAAGTAATGTGGAATTCGTTACCAAATCTAGAACAGAACATATGAATGAAACTGAAAAAGCAAAATTAAATAATACGAAAAATCCCATCCAATCAATTTTAGGCTCAAGTGAAGAAACATGTGTAAGTTAATACTAATTGTAAGTTTTTAATTACCTAGGTATTTAATATTTAAAATATTGCCTCTTAGCCAGTTAATAAATCAGAACTTGAAGTTACTATGGCTGAATATTTTGACGAATTGGTTGATATCAAAGGAAGATATATACGGAAGCCAATTGAGCAAACTACCAAAGTCACAAAAATCAAGGTAAGTTTAAACATTGTATAGTGCAAAATGTGAATTATTGATTTATCAAATCATGAATTAAAATGTTTTCAGGCTAACTTATGGCTTAGTGAAGATTACCCTCTGAGTTTGAAAGAACAGATCATGCCAATTGTTGATTTAATGGCGATTACAAGTTCTCATTTTGCCAAACTAAAAGATTTCATTGAAATGCAGCTCCCATCAGGATTTCCAGTTAAAATTGGTATTTAATCTGTCAATTATAAGTTAAATAATAAATATTCAAATGGTTATTATTTTGTAGAAATACCACTATACCATATTTCCAATGCCCAAATTACATTTGGTAACTTATTTGGTACGGATAAAGCTATTGAAGGTGTTCAAACATTAGACTCCGATGGAAAAATGTTCTGTGTAGTTGAAGATTCTGTATTTTTCCCTCCCAGAAGTTATGTAGTCCTTGGTAAAACACAATTTTTAATAAAATTCAAATGATAAACATTTGTGTTGATTAAATTGTTATTTGTTAGGGGCTGAACAAAGACGTCAAATTGGTATGGACAATGATGAAGAACTACTTCAATTTGCTGTTCGGCAGAGTCTTTTAGAAACTGGAGCTGAAGAGGATCAAGTAAATTATTATATAATATATTTATTGTTTTTATAATATTTATTTCAAAAATATTAATATTTTAAAAATATTAATATTTTAAAAATAAGGTTGATATTTGGGAAGCTTTACAAGTTCAACGAACAAATACTCCCAATGACCTCTATTTTGATCCAGCTGATGAAGAATTACAAAGGTACAAATATATTATACAAACATTTTATCATACATATTTTTCAATATAAGTGTATTTAAACAGGTTACCATTTAAAAAGAGAGGACAATAAAATGCTTAATTCCTCTAATTTGAACCTTAAAATAAATCTCCATTGGACCAAATTTTTTATTTTTTTTTTAACTATTGGTTATTAACTTATTATCCAGCTAATATATTTAGTGTAAAATTATACCTTTGCTTGGCTTGTATGTATATTTAGTTAATTTCCTTGTAGAGCAATCCATGCAAGTTTGACTGAGAGTACATTTGTGCCTGCTGTTTCACAATCAGAAGCTCCGGATTTAGTTGACAATGCAATGGCTGATGATGCAGATGCAGATCTTAAAGCAGTATTGAGGTTGTCTATTGAAGAAAAAAAGCAGGCTGAACTACAGGCACGAATGGAAGAAGAGATGTTAGAAAAAATATTACAACTATCTCTGACCGAAAAATAATTTATTTTTATTAATTATTATTTGTTATATTACTTCTTACCAAAAACTAAAAATAAAAATACTAAATGATAATTGTAAGATGGTGAATTAACAATTATAAAGAGTTTAAATTTAGATATATTTTTATACTGTGAAAATATTTTTGACTTAAATAAGTGCTATATGAATACTAAATAAATTTAGTGCCTAAAATGAGTAATGTATGTATAGCAAATTCCCTATAGTGTTATAAATTCACCTCTCCGATAATCAGAAAATTTGATTTAATTTTATTGGTTATGTCTTATTTATGATATATGCTTTCATATCTAGATTATATATCCCATATGAGAGTGACCTAAAACGTTGATTAATTTGCGTGTTTGGTTTTGTCTGACCAAACTCCTTAATTAAATCAGTTTTCACTAACTTTCAATTCTGACGATCTGGAGTTTTCAAAAAATTTCCTTATTGTGTTAATCTTAGTAAAATGCATACTAGATGTTTGTTGGAATAACAAAGAAACGGCCGCGAGAGCATGGCCCTCGGCTCACGTTAAGCACATTGCTGCTGTCGTATGCAGTAGCTTGCCACCTGAGGTCACTCTTATATGAGACAGTATAAATATATATAATATATAATGATTATATATAACTATTATATTTATATTTAAATATAAAACATTTCTAGTTTATTATTTTGGTCATTAAATAAAATATAGCATTGTTGGAATTCTCTTTTTTAAATATTTAACTAAATTTTATTCATAGTAAAATAATATGTAAGTTATTATAAACAATTCTCCCTGTATTTTAATATTTTTTTAACAATAATTTATTATTTATTTGTAAACTACGCCCAAATGTATTATTCACTTATTTTATTCTTTGCGTGTATCAATTTTACAGCAGAAGACTAAAACATTTAAACCTAAAATACCTATTAGTATAATATTATTGGCATGCTAATTATAATATTTCTCCTATGCTTTTAAAAGAACTATTTATAAAATGTTTATATTTTTATCATTTTTGATCTAAAATGTATGTATGATTAAGTGGTTTTAATTATTATATTATATTATGTATAATATATATATATATATATTCTTTTGTTAAACTTTTGCAATTCTATTTATTACTTGTATACTTATTATCCACTATTCAATCCTATTTACATTGAGTTTTTAAATGTATTCAATTATTTAAAAAATATAAATGATGTTTATTTATTATTATTATTAAGTATTTATTTAACCATTTTACATTTACGAAAAAAAAAAAAAAATAAGAAAGAAATATTTGTAGCTAGTCTTTCAGTTAATTTATTATTATCGTTTGTGTTGTTAAATATATTATTAAATCATATTAAATCATGTACCTACCTAATTTAATATATGTCTTTGATTTTTTTCATTTATTATTGTTTACTGTTGATAGATATCATCATATACATCACTAATTAGAATTTGTTACTAATATAAAGGATAGTAAAATTACTAAATGTCCAATACTCTGATGTACTGAATATTAGTATCAAGGGTAATCACTAATCACTAACTATCATTAATCAATCACCAAATCTACGTGGTTTGGCAATTTCTTTAGTTTAATTAATTAAGTTTAATGTTTTAATTTGATCCCTACCTACTATGAAGACTGAAATACTGAATCGGTTGTTATATGAAACAACAATGATGTAGTGGGCTCAAGGATTCCTAAAACTTATTTATTAGAAATTATACAAGCTAGCATAATTAGAATAACGCCAAAGTTATTGCCAAAACCACATGTTGTTTTAACTTTGTGTTGCACTTTTTTTGGAACAATGAGTGTGTTGCTACAATTTAGTTTGTAGATGGGTGCCTATTAAATAATATACCAACACATATTCATACCGATGTTTAAAATACACACGAGTGGGTAGTCAACTTGACGCACGTTGCTTGTAAGAAAAAACAATTATATATTGGTATATACTATATAGTATATAGTATGGACGTGGGTAGGTACAATATTTATATGCCATTACATTAGTACATTATTATGTCAGGACTCAAAAGCCAGTAGGTAGGTATGTACCAGAAACAAAAAAATAACTGTCAAAAGCGCCATTATATATTTGTCAAATAAAAAAAATACCACTGATGATGGATAAACATCAGACTTGTTGTTCAAGTATCGTATCTACAGCTGCTATTTGATATTACGATAAAGTATCTACCTAATAAATATAATTATTATTATTACAATCTGTTATAAAGTGTTGCTATTGGGTGGCTTCTTTTTTCAAGCGTCGCATGTCAAATAAATGTATACCCGCATACATGCTTATTGTAAATTTAAATTACAGATTGTATGTTTTTAAAATAAAGTTAAAAAAAAAAAATTATTACAATCGTATAGAGCAGGGGTGAGTAACTGGCGGCCCACCAGCCTTTTTAATCTGGACCGCTCTACATTTTCAAATTTTCAAATTACATTATAAACAAAATAAATGCTAATTAAAATGTATATATTGAATGTCGCCCTTTTTTTTCATTTATACCCTGGCCTGCTAGATTTTAATTTTCTAAAAATTGGCCTAGTAACGTGAGTTGTTCATCCCTGGTATAAAGTCAGTACTTGATTTGGAAAAAAGGGCGTATGTAATTTGCGCCAAAAACAACCCAAAAAAAAAAAAATATATGTAATTTGCGCCACATCTAAAATTGTATTTTGGTAATTTGCGCCACTTTTTATGTTTGTAATTTGCGCCAAATAAAACTAAATAAAAAGGCAATATGTAATCTGCGTCATCGTTTACCTACAAAAATTGTAATTTGCGCCACAAGTAAAACGAACTCCATGTATATTAAATAAGTAAATTTTCTATTTAAAACATATAAAAATATTGTAATGTATAAATATAAATTTTCGTTTAGTATGTAGAATTTTCGTAATATAACATTTAATTTTTTGAATTAAAATACCTAGCTACTTATAATACCTAGCTTACTCACGTTTTTTTTTATATTTATAGTTTAATGAAAAAACTAAGCATTTTCTGTCAATTTTATTTTGTCTTAAGTCTTCATATATTTGTTGAAAAGTTTCCAAACGAATTTTATTTTTAGTAGAATTTCGTTTTTTAAGATGTATACTTTTAAT